TAGTAACAGAGATAGGGATCACGAATAATTACTTAAAATCAATAGGCCAATGTGAAGAAGCCAGAACACTGAAGATGGAAGTACTCACCAAGTTCCAGAGCATGATCAGTCCAAGTAACTTGATATCACAGATACAAACTGCTTGAAATTTGGGCCACAAAAGCGCCTTTACTATCAGATACATACAAACAGAGCATCTTCACCGAAATAAGAGGATACCATTATTCAGTTTTATCTTCTAATGCTTATCGCCATTCGGGAGTCATTACAGTGCAGGAAATTTGGCCTAGTAATAAATTCAATCACCTATTTTCAGTATAGGTGTGACTCAAATAAAAGCACTGGAGAGATGTAGTAATTTTCATAACAACTTATGCCACACTGACCAGCTTGCTTCCTATTTCGAAAAGTGATATTATTATTATTAAGAAGCGCAATACGGAAGACAAAAGTAACACAATACCGAAGATATGTGCAAACTGTGATTCTAATATATAGTAGACGTATTTTGCCTACATTTGTACATTGAGTTCTCAATAAGTAATTCCGTTGCCGAATACTCTTGTGTTCTGCCGTTACAATATCGTTTCTTGAAGCGTGATATCCATTCGGATTCTTGACCCTACCACTTACATGCCTATCAAGGCATTAAGCATTTGTCACTGCACGTTTTGTGTTTGTGACCGGCTTTCTTTTTCACACTTGAACAAATTGATAAATTCTCTCTTAACTGCTACAGAACTGACGCTAAGGTCCCTGGAAAGTCTTGCTGATAAATAAACCGTTACTGAAGATGTCTTTCAGCTGAAACAATAAGTCACCTAATGGCTCATTTAAGCCATTCAGTTGACTCAATTCTATAGATTAAAAAAGTCAGTCACGAATAGCTTCATTCTGGGACGCAGGATTAACTAAAGTAGATGAGTTCCCATAGTTCAGCTGCACGTCAGTGTGTTGAAATTTACTGTAATCTAACCAAATATCTAAATGACATAGTAGGTTTTACCTAGATCCAATGCAAAACTGTACCACCTCCTGGATTTTTACGTCATTCACTGTACCTGATGTTTCGGGTTAATTTTGCAGAAACTAAAGGAGAAGATACCGTGTCATAAGTTTGATTCCGGTTACCACATACTTCAGCCATTTTCAAAGCACTGTAATCTCTGTGAATTAACTGACTTGTGAACACTTCATGACGTTACTGACATCTAGAGTTTATGTTATGTAAAACCGCTTTCAAAATACATTAGTTATTTAAAGCACTTACTGGTAAGAACAGATTTATGATGACGGTTATTCAGATGCTTGTGCTCTAAACTAGTCATTTTTGCATCATTAGGCTGATATTATCTTCATGAGTGTCTTAGTAAAGTGGATAGCAGTTTCTCAGACATTATTATTAATAGCTTTTCAAGATATAACAAATCCTTGAATCTATCCTACAGTCCACGTCCGGATGACGTGCAGATACTTACTGCAGTTCTCTTTAAAACAAATTTGAAGCACCTTTTTTGAAAAACATAGATTTATTAGTATTGACAAGGATTGCGTAATATGAAAGACACTCAGAAAGATAGGATGTCAATGAAAGAGCATGGAGACAAGTGTCCAAAATAAATTATATACTAGGTAGAAACAGTAAATAAAGGGTTGGTTAGGGAAAAGATATTACCAAAAAGTCATACAAAAATTCAAAAAACGCATTATTAACAAGGTGGTAGAACTTGGAATTATATCTAAGGTAGAAGGAGGGGGTGGGGAAGTTTTTTATTCTGACGTCCAGGTTTTTAATAGCTACCAACTAGCCATCAAATTTACAAGTGAAGCAGAAACCGGAGAGACAGTCTCACTTCTGAACGTCCGACTAACAATGAAGACTGATGGGACTCTGAAGAGATCAATATATCGAGAACGTACATGGAACGGGCAGCCGACAAACTTCTACAGTTGGTTACCCATCAATCGCAAGCGGAACCTGATAATATCTCTTGCGACTAGAATCCGTAGAATCTGCAGCCCCAAATCAGTAGAAGAAGAGATCATTCTTTTGGGGAAGACACTACTTGAGAATGGCTGTCCACCACATTTTATAGATAAACACAAAGCCAAAAATCAATAAAGATCAACCCATCTCTGCGCCGAAGAAGATGCTGTACATGAATATGGCGTTAAGGGGTGACCTTCTGGTCGACATCCTAAAGAGAAGATTATCTAATGCGCTGAAAAGAACATTGTCTGCTGCTACATTACGATTGGTATTTTCAAGCAATCCAATGTTCTTCAATAACTCCAAAGATAAAATATCACATTTGACCACTTTTATATGTATCTACTAATTTAATTGCTAATGTGAAGTGAGATAAATAGGTCGTTCGATGCGTGTTTCATCCAAAAGAGTCAAAGAACATTATCCCGTTTGGCTACGAATAGGTAATATAGGATCATTAAGGAGCGCTAAAATCGAACATATATATTCAACACTGCTCACTCAGTGTATAAGGAGAATTCATTCAAAGTCATCTACAAGGTCAAAAGAAGTCTCCCGAAAACGGTAAGCCTCCCCTGATACTTTGCATTACCGAGGCCTTAGCCATTCGGATAGAAAACCCTGGTTTATACATACAGAAGAAACTTCCTCACCCCTTCCTTCTACCTTGGATATAATTCCAAGTTCTACTACTTTGTTAATAATGCTTTTTTGAATTTTTGTATGGCTTTTTAGTAACATTTTTTTCTTAACTAACCCTTTATTTCCTATTTCTACTTATTACACAACTTATTTTGGACACTTTTCTCCATGCTCTTTCATTGACATCCTATCTTTCTGAGTGTCTTTCATATAATGGAACCCTTGTCAATACTTATTAATCTTCACCCCCTAGTTAAAACTTGATTATTCATCGCATTTCTGAAACATTTTGATGACGTAAACATAGATTAGTCTAAAAGTATGGTTTCTCTCCCCATTATGTTCATCTTTTACCGTTACTTATCACCTGCCTACCTATCAACTACGGAATTCATTAATACTTAGTCACTGCTCGGACTTTCTTCTTTAAACTTCCAGCACTTTCATAGGTGATAGTTCTCTTAGACAATAGCACATGGCTGGAAGTATTGCTTCGTTACTTATTTGTATTGTTGAAGCACCAAAAAATTATATAATATGCGGTTCAAATAATGTTAAAATATGTTCATGTCCATAAAATAAATTGTAAGGGGAATGTGAATAAAATACAAAGCACCTAGATTTCGGTTCTTCATTGTATGTTAAGATAACCATCAGTATCAAATAGGATTAAGTGGTACTGAGTTAGTGTGAAACTCACTGCATAATGAAATGTGTATTTTGTAATTAAAAGAGAAGAACTGTATAATAGAGAAAACACATATTATAAATCATTCGCTAAATTTTCATGCACCAGCATAATTTAATTATCTGCGATAAAAGCAACCATGAGTTCAGTGCTTCAGTTTGCCACCGAATGACGAGTACAGTAATGGAACAGAAAACTTGTCAGATGTAACTTTTTTCCGCTAGTGCCCTGAAATACTCTACTTAGTGAGTGACTAAAAGCATTCTCAATGGTTTGTTGCAGAGTCCTATCAACAGCTGCCTTCGCTGGCCCCATACTGAAGATCAAACGGCCGGTTGGAAAGAAAAACCAACAGGGAATTCTCACAGGCAGTGAATCAACCAAGAACTTATTGTGCAACAAATAAGCTGAAGAAAATGGAGAGCCACCCGGCACACACTGAGGAAGCCTCTGAGTGATGCCATGCACCAGGCACTTGAGTGAAATCCGAATGGGAAACGAAAATTTGGGCGAGGTTCGGAGGATGACACAGAGGAGATCGTATGCACAGAACAATTATGGAGCCATCTAAAAACGATTACAGGAAACAAAAGTGAAATAGAGATGTGTTGTCGAAGATCTATGTTCCCCTTGGAACTCATCGAAACAACAATAACATTATTATGGTAGTACTCCGAACTGTCACATTCTGAATGAGAGGAGATTCATATTACTCAATTATCTTGAGTAATGAACTTAGCTATCTTTATTTACTCCATGCTTTTCTTTGTTTTCTACTAATTACCAAGTAATATCTGTCTGCTCAAAGTTTTGTTATTCAAGTATTGATTTGTAGGGATTTGGTTGATTGGTTACAGTTTTTTTTATCATGAGCTGACATTGGTTAGAGAACTATTGGGAAACCTGAAGGGAGTACTGGACAGCTGTTTCGTCCTAGTTTGAGACTCTTCATCATCACCGGGGTTCGAACCCAGAACCTTCTGGTTACAAGGCGAGCTCGTGAATTGGCAGAAGTTAGAATTCATGGGCCATTGAATCGGGTCCCATCGGCTTAATGGTCTACGATGAAATCCTGTAACCAATCAAAGTTTTGTGCCTGTTAATACTTATCAAGTGAAAATGTTTGTAATCCTGACGGTATACGAATTAGTCTTACTCATTATCAGTGTGAGAAGTGTTTTCATAAATCTATTCACTGTTAATACTCAATAACTCATGAGTTAATCGCCACTGTATTGTATATTTTTAGTTGGTAGACTATGATAAAGCTTTAAGTCTAGTCAGCTACACTGGCTAAAGTCCAGTGACCAGTTCATGTTTCACCTCATGAGGTTTACTTCTCGTCACGTTAACACGATTTGTAGAGTGAAGATCCTAAAGTCTAAAGTCTGTGTATACTTTTTTTTCAACTCAATATCTCCAAGATCCTGCCAAATCATCCAAATATATTGAATTGTTTTTGTCTCATTTCTAGTTCAAGTGAACTAGTGTGTTTCAATATTTAAACAATATAACCATTATCCCCAGTGCTTCAGTGCCATTTAAACAACTACTCCATTAAAACAAAACGTTACATTTCTTTTATTTAGAAGGATGAGTGAAATTTAATTCTTGAAAACATTTTCTGTCAAGTTATTCTTTGTTGTTGTTGTTGAAAGTTTATGAATTATCTGCGTTCCTTCAACACTTTAAAGTGTCTGCTGAATAACTGTTGTCTCCATAGCTTTGACCTTGATTAAGAAGGTCGCTATTGAGCTTGAGGCTTGAGATAATACTACCAATATCCAGTAGGTCAGCATAATATTTGTCATCGTTGTCATCACCACCACCGTCATCATCAATACTACCGCAGTTATCCTCGCTTAAATTCATTGAAGTGTTCGTTGATAAGGATTCTGCAAAACGTATAAATAATTCATCTAAATACTTCGCTTTTTTCTGTTTACTTGACCATGAATTATTCTCATCCGATGTACCTTTGTCTATTGGTAGTAGACTTTTTAATCGATCGTTTGCATTTGAATAAACTAAATTTACACCTTTTGTTCGTTTTCGTATAGTGAATAATTTAAATTCACTGACTGTATCCATCTTTACAACTATTAGTCGACCATTATGTCCTAATTGAATTCTTATGATTGGTAATTCTGAAGCATCTGTAGAAATTGCAGCAGTTTCATCAATTGGTGTCAACAATGCTCGACCCACGACGGGATAATTATTGTAGGTTTGATTATTCTGTATAATAACAAGCCATGCATTATGATATTCTAGTGAATATAAAACACTGACAATGTATAACTTGTCTGGAGTGAATTGTGCACATAATACAGTTGGCTCATTTTGTGTACCTGGTATAAGATTCGGTGAGTTCAACATGGCTAATACACTTCCCTGTCGGAAATCAATCAATCGTAAATTAGCATCTAAACCGTATATACCATCAGGAGAGACATCAATAAGTTTGTCTGCAACAGACATTTGACTTATAATCAATCCATTGTCTTGCTTGTTTTTTAAATTTAGTACCGTTATATTGAACATTGAATTATCTTGTTCTAACCATATATATTGAACAACGACTATAGTCGGTTGAGCTTGACATGTAAAAATTCGTTGAACACTTGGCGTTCGACAATAATCATCATGTTCTTTTAATAATTTTTGCAAGTTTACCTCGTATAAAATCTTTTTAAAATCTGGTGCTTCAAGAAAACGTATCCATTGTCCATGTTCACCACAGCATAATACTAAATATCGATCGTTGAATACAATCTGTGTGCCTTTAATAACTGGATGTTGTAGGAATGTATATCCTAGAAATCTTCCATTTGTCGACTCATAACGCGATAATAAAGCTTGAGGCTGTTCGTTCAGCTTATTCGCTGGATTTTTGTTCCGAGTATCTTTGAGAAGATTAGATTTCACTGGATCTATATAATCATTCAGGCGTGTACTGCTTGCATGATCTGGTTTCAGAGTGTATATACCATGCTTAGTTGACATATGAAATATAAATTCGCCTATAATCGATATTTGACATCGTAATCCAGTACCACTGGTTGTGTTGTCTAAATCATAAAGACGAATAATTGTCTGATCATATCCCATGCCAATAGGGCTGTTAATCTTCTCTTGTAGAGATGTGTAATAATTAATATTCGGCAATTTTGGTTTTCTGTAGTCTTTTGTATTATTATTATTAGTACTATTGATCTTTTTGTATTCATCTTTTGAAGGATTATTAATGATATCGTTATTACTAAGACTTTTAACACGATAAACCAGTGCTAATCTCTTTCCATCTGAACTGAGATGACGTTCACACGGCGTATCTTCCAATATTGGGGTCATTAAAAAGTCTGCTTCATAACTATTCATGAAAGGATCTTCTACGTCAGATTTAGCGCATTCAACAGAAATAACTCTTTGGGTGATGAGATTGTAATAAGTGAATAGCTGTTGATTACCGATTTCAGTTGAATAAACAATGTCGAGTTCAGGATGATAATTAACTCTGGACAACTTTTTACCAATGAGTGTCAGCGCCATTGGACCTTGATTTTTTGAGCCTAAACTGAGTACATTAATACTCGTAAGTATAATACTTCCGTTGGTCACCACTATAAGATTACCACCTCGGATAAAGTATGCTTCATCTATGGGAGTTTTGAATGCTGGAATCCTATTCAATCTAACTGATATATTTGCACTGGATTTAGTTGTTATAGGTCTACCAGATGCCATTTGTGCTGGTTGAGATGTATTCAGTTCAACTAATTCAATCCATGTATGCGTATCGGAGGATTTGATGAAGTGTATTAAACAGGCACCTGTAGTATCAATACCAAAGCGTATTTGACTATCTTGATAGCCGGAAAGACCTGCTACTAATGATCTTGAACTGATTTGCCATATGCCGATTAGCAGACGATAGTCATTTACATTATATAACGCAGCCAGATACTTTTCATCTGGTGAAACCCACAATTCTTGTACGCATACTTGATGACGTGCTTGATCCAGCATAGCTAATGCATCTGAATCCCATAAGAATGGATTTTTGTCTGTAGATGACAATTCTGACACTTGGTTTTGTATAATATTCTTGATATTTTTATACAAGTTTAACTCCATGTTTGGCTTAAGAATTCGAACTTCTTTACCTGAAATCTAAAAGACAAGGTGAGTATTAGTATTTTTCTCATATCATACATTTAAATTTGCGGATTTAGTGCATTGATTTCTCAGTAAAACTGAAGAATAATAGTTCTGGTGACTCTAAACTATAGCAGCCCAAACCGAAACTACCTAGCGAACGGATAAATGACCTTGAACAATGGCTCTGTTGACCAATCAGATGCGTCTATAGTAAAAGTGCATAATTTGAATAAAACGTTTATATAAAAGTAATAGTTAAAAAGGATAACGTCCCGAAAAAACCTCCCAATTTCTCATAGGAGTCTTCATAGTTAGGTTAAACCAATCCCTGTACATAAACTCATTGAGATAACTGTATATCGTTGTATTTCTTGTTCCATTCACAGATCTGATCCTTTTTTGAGGTGACTCCAAAATTTTTCGATGGAATTAGTGTGAGTTCCATCGAAAGGATTGATGAAATCATTTGTATGGTTGATGACGTGATGAATATAGCCCAGGGTTGATAGCCGACTATAACCAATCCATTCATCTGTGTGAATAGTTGTTCCAGGCATCACTAAGTGTTGGATTATAGGCAATGGGACATTAGTACTACGATTAGGGATCGCCTTGATGTATCCTTTGCGGAAGTTGGTGTCATATATCCTCACCACCCACTGCTGATTGGCACTCAATCTACCTTGATTGTATTTTCTTTTTATAAGCACTGTCTTATCCACATGAACAATGACACCAACGTTGCCAAGTACTTGAGCCAGTCTGTTCATTTTCCATGATGTTATGTCTCTGCAGTACTGGTACCATTGTACTGCAGACACTTATGAAATTTTCGATTCATACTCACTTGCTGTTACTGGTCTTTTAAGCACCCACTTATGACACATCACAGTTGTCTTCGCTCAATACTCAAGATCAGATGGCCAGAAAAGATCAGCAACAGGGATCTTTGGGAACGAACCAGCCAGGAACCGATTGTGAAACAAATAGGCAGGAAGAAATGGAGATGGAAACCATCAAGTGACATCACTAGACAAGCCATTACTCGAGTGGAACCCGAAAGGGAAGCGGCGAGTTGGTCGTCAGTGTGAGGGTGACTTGGAGGAGGTCATGTGAAGAGGAGATGAAAACGTGTGGGCAGACTTGGAGCCGAGTGAAGACTCTAGCAGAGAACAGAACGCAGTGGAGACGCACGGCTGAAGCCCTATGTTCCTGTAGGAATTAAAGGTTACAATAATAATAAATAATAATTATGACACATCATTAAAATTTTCGTTAGAGGTAACTTAGGCTTGGCGAAGAAAGTACCTACGGAATCTGTAAACTAAAAAAAGAACGGCATACCTTCTCGAACTGACTTCCTGGTTCGCACCTGTAAAAAAATCCATCAATGCACCTAGTATATATTTGTAAATACATGACACCTCCACATTGACACTATTCAGATCTTCTTGTCAGTTTCTTCTCCAAACAGTAATCAAAAATAAGATCTGGATCGAATTTGCTACGCAATAGGTCTACAGCATTCATAAGTACGCCTATATAATACGGATTCACCTGATTGGTTGCTCAAGGTCATTTATCCGTTCTCTAGGTAGTTTCGGTTTGGGCACAGTAGTTCTATGTCAAATGATAATAATAATAAAAATAATAATAGCTTTATTGTGCACAAAGAATTGTAATTATTAATCAGAGTACAGAATTCCCAGGGTAATTTAATGAAGAATATTCTCCTTTCATCCAGGATCTTTAAGTAAAATAACAATCTATGGTATATGTAATGTACCGGAGTACTATTCCGCTTGAAGCATAAACTATTCCCTCATGACATCTTTCCTTTATCTGAGAGAAACGCGAACCGATAGGTTGAAAACCAATCAAAAACATAATTGAATGGTTAAAACTATAAGAATTCGAGAAAATATGTTGTATTGTGTTGAAAGGCGATACAGGTAGCGCAGTGATTCAAGCAGGCCGCCAGGGTGAGTTGATTCGAAAATGCTAACATGGTAGTTTATAGTAACACGGTCATTTGTTTTTTTTCCACTGCTAGTCATCATCCACCAAATTCCCTTTGAGTTAAATTCTCAGACATCGTAGATGCATCCACACAAGGAGCCAACATGTCAACAGAGGCCGAACACTTCAGTCCAATCAATCAACGGGAAAGTCCAAAATGAGTTAAATACTGCCGATGATTCCTAAACTAGGATGAAACAACAGCTGTCCAGTACTCCCTGGTTTTCAATGGTTCTCTAACTGATATCAATCCGTGATCAACTCGTAAAAACATAACTAACCCTTACAAACCAAACTATGGGAAGTTAAATACTAGTTAGTTGTATCAAACGTTTAGGAATTCTAAGCTGGACGTAAGTGACTACAAATCATATAATATTTAAAAGCTGCTTTTCAATAACTTCTGACCAAAGGTTTGATACAATCAGTGTGACTTTTAATTGGGATAGTTTAACGTAATTCCACACAGTTTTTTAAAATCTTATTTAGAACAGAAATCGAAAAGCGAAATACTGATGGTCTTAATGTTTGTAATTATTTTTCCTAACTGCTTTACTCTCAGATGACAACAAACTCTGACTAGTGATCAAAGCTTGAGTGGCTTTAAGTTATTACAACAACAGTAATGAAAAACATTATGTTGGTCAAAGTGGCCGCTCCATGAACATAAACTGGCTTTCAAAAGACACAATATCCATTTCCTCATATCAAGGCATAGAGACAGCCATGACCATCAGTATGACTGGGAAAATGTATAAATCCTAGATAAAGGAAGCACCAGGAATGTCTGGGAATCCCTAGAAGCCTAGTACTCAGACAAATCTGCAATCATTAGACATATTGAAATAGATCAGATTTATCAAACAATAAAAAGTAATTTAAATGGACAAAAGGTCAACAAGATAATCAATATTAATACAAATAGGCAAGAAGGTAAGAATATCTCCGGAAGCAACCAGTCACATTCAAAGTCACGAGGAGAATCCTGAAAGTCTGCAATGAACATGTTATCCTGAAAGCCAGTGAAGGCTTCGCAAATAAATAATCCAGATAAGAGAACACAATGACATCAGCATTTTATAATACTTGAGTAAATTAGTTAGATAGGACTTTATAAACCACCAAGGAGGTTTTGATTTATTCATATTATTAAATTAGCTCTTCTAGTTTTTGGGATTGATTTTCTAACCCACATATACAACCCACGTGGAAGATTATATGTCTATGTTATATCATTTATATAGAGTTAACATTTGATTTGAATAGAAATTAAAAGATGCTAATTAGTGGTAGAGTTCAGTTAGCATTAAGCACTATAAAACGCAATACTGGTTATCCCAATACAGCCCAATAGGAAGTTAGTCCCAGCTTCAATACCTGATTGGCACTGTCCTTGACTGCAGTACTGCATAATTAGGGTTCTAATCTCAGAAGCGACATAATGTTCCTCGAGACTGCCTATGTTTCCTGCTAATGAGTACTGATAAGAACGCACCCCTGATTTAAGGCTTAGTGCTGTAAAGAAGACAAGACTGAGGAGACTGAAAAGAATGGTTATTTGATGAAACGTATGGTACATAGCTAAATTTGGAATACCATATTCTCAACCGGCTATTTGCACATCTTTACCACATCCTTGACGAATTGGTCGAATATCGTCTCATTCGATAGCTTCTTGGATTCTGCATCATATGGCAACATTCTTCTCATGGTTCTCTTCTTTGAATGCTCTTTCCAGTGTGCCAAACATGTTGTTACTTCGTTCCTGATATACTACTTATATCGGATTATAAGTAGCACTCACCACAGTGCCAGCTGTCTCCGGAGGTAAGAGGCAAAGACTTCTTTTTCTAGCAGTGCTACATTACGGTATGAGAACTTAGACTTTTACGTCTTCGACTGAATCATTCTGATGAGTTCAGTATTGTTTCACTTTTGACCATTTGATCTTTATTGATTTCTATTAGACAAATCATTCTAATAATCAAATGATGACAGTAAAGTATAAGCCTTCTAAAGCGTTCTTAAAGAGTCAGTATGAAAAGGAGCTCTTTCATTTTCAAATAATAATAGTAATCTAATAAAGTATGTAGACATTCTATTAAACCAACTGAATAGTGGTCACTTATTTTCTTGTCAACATTTAGTTTCGGAATACTAATCCAGGTGTGTGTTATTTGGACGTTGATATACTCAACAAACAGCTCAAAAACTTTGGTTTTATTATAAAAACAAGTTATGAGTGAATACCGGTAAAAAAACGTCAGTTGAGAAGAAAGAGATGATTGGTTGGAGGATTTCATCATGAGTTGACATCAGTCAGAGAAACATTGGAAAACCAACAGGGAGTACTGGACAGCTAGCTGTTTCGTCAGACTAGTTTGGGACTCTTCATCAGTACGCACCCACCACCAGGGTTAGAACCCAAGACCTTCTAGTTACAAGGCTAGCAAGCTCGTAGACCACTAAGCCACTGGGAACCAATCCAATGGTCAACCCATGAATTCTAACTTCTGCCAATTCACCACACAGCGCGACCACTTCGCAATGTCTTCTTCGACGAGTTACTGCCTCACCTTCAACCTGCTGTACCCTACTGGTCACGGCTTGCCACTAGAACCTCAGGTTAACTGACTGAATAGGGCCAGTCGCTAGTGAGCATCAGATCAATTTTCAAGTATTGGTTTTGTAGGGATTTTGTCTGATGAGGAAATCCTCCATCCAATCAGACAAAATCCTTAGAAAACCAATACTTATAAAGAGATGATTATTACTTCATAACATTTCATAAATACTTGATCATTTCCCCTCAATGTTTTGAGAAATTTTTATAACTTACTTACTCAGCGGAAAATTGTGGCAGTAAAAATGTGTACTACTCACCGTAGTTAAATCAAATCTGTATATTTGTCCCAAGCTTTTACATCCAATTAACAGATTCTCTCCTCTTATATTTGTTTGAAATATAGCCGGTGCTAATGGACACTTTATCCAGGCTACAACATCATTCACAGCATTTCTTAGCCGAACTTGAACTGAATTATTCGCAGCTTCTTTCAATTCCTCTGTACTATTCCGTTTTCTTTTTTTATCCACACCAACTTTACTCTGAATTAACCACCTGGATGGTCCAAAACAAATACGATCAGTTGGAGATATATAAAATGGTAAGGGAACTTTAGACAGTACTCCAGTGATTGGTTGAAGATTCGGAAGAGAATAGACTGTAGCATAACCTTGACTCAGGGTATTTTTCGCTTCATTCTCTTTGAGTCCATATCGTGTCACCAGAATGCTGCTACGTGAAATACACAGAATTTTTAATTGTAGCGGATATGCGACGGATAGATCACCTTCAACACAGCCTAATTCTAAATTAATCGCCAAAATACCAGATTTTCTTGTTTTCAGTGTTTTCGTGGAATAGGTTAAGAGAACCATTTGATTTTGATGTGTTGGCATATAGGCTTGATGAAATATGTGGTCAGGCCATTTGCCCAGACTAAATGAATTCGCCTTAGTCAAGGAATTCACTTCCCATAAATTAATAAGTACTTCATCATTGCTGATGTGTGATTCGAAATTTGTTTTATTCATTTGATAGTTAAAGATTAAAGTAAATAAAAATCTCGAATCTGAAGATATTGTTATCACTTCTTTTCTTTCGTGTTGTTGTAATTCCCTTGGAGATGAATATTTCACATCATAATTCGTGTATTTCACTTGTAACAATTCCGGTTGTAATGGTGGCGTATAACATATTGATAATAATGGCAAGAGACAGTTGACTTTATTTGAATCATAATCAATACTGTTGAGTAACTGGCGACCTATATTCACATATTCTGAATTAGCTAAATGTCCAATTCGGCCGGCTAGTTCAACACTTAGCAATGTTGGCGCCAGTGATAACTTTGTTGATAAACTTCGTATAAGGCCTAATAAATACATAATTTCATCGTTTGTTCTCAATTGATTTAATTGTCGCATATAATAAAACTCTGTAATTACATCATTAGGTCTTAAGCCCAGCAGCATTTTACCCAGTATATAATCAAATGAAAAGATAACATGTTTGAGTATATCTTGTACACTATCTGAACCTGCTTGTAATAACTGATAGGGTAGTTCTGTAAGCCGGCGTGCATTACAAATGTAACGTTTATCATAAGTACCTGTGACTACACTAGCATTTCCTTTATTTAACTGAACAGTGTTCAGTTTTTCTGAAGCCATCCAATAATACATTGTATTGAATGAATCATCATTGTAGTCTGATGTATTCGCTTTCCTTTCATATTGATGACTCATTTGTTGAGGTTGTTGCTGTTGTTGTTCATAGTCATCTTGTCCACTGGAATTGCCTAACCAATAGTCTGATAAATATTTATGAAAGGTAAACTCTTTTGGAGCTACAATCATCTGATCCTTTTCAGCATCATCTTTATTCTCATTGGATGCATAGTCATCACTGGCTTCAGTTTGTGAATGATTCATTAAATCATCAGTATTGAAACCCCAATGGATTAGCACACCTTTACGAATTGATTCAGATGTGAATGTCACCAACAATCGATTGTCTGTTGTGATAAACATTAAATATTTTACTAAACCATATTTTAAGGAATAAATTAAGTGTTGTAAACAACCAATAGGGAAATGTTGTAGGGAATTCACCTGATTCGATCGTTTTCTAACCTGTTGGACATCATTATCACTTTGAAGGATTTCAATTAATTCAGAGAATGTTAAACCAAATCGTGAACAGGCTATGTAAGGTAGAATACGTAACAATGCAACACTAAGCAGTCCTTGTTGTTTCAGCGTATACTGGATTTGTTGTAAGCGTAGAACAAATAAGTGGGATATATCACTGGGCAGTGTTTCTGGTAGGTTAACATCAACTTTACCGGTCAATTTTACAGCGATTATTTCAGCTAATAATTTTATATAACTTGGTGTTATATTCTTTTGTAATGCTGTATTAATTATATCCTGTTCAGATTGAGTCAACTTTAGACTGGTCTGTTCTTCTGCACCGAATTCTTTAAGATTCTTTTGTATCAGTCTAGGCATAACCGTGGTAATTACATGTTGTATTTGAGAGAAAGCAGACAGAGTTATACAACAACCTTCACCGAATCGATTATTAAAACCTTTAACAATTCTTGTCGCACTTGTTGTCATTAGTATACGAGTATACTGGTTGTGCAGTGTATACGGTAACCAAAGAAACATTTGTACATGTTCATCAGGATATAGGTATTCAATATCATCTATAACTATGAGTACTGGTCTCAGTGCACTGGCATAATTTAACATTGTATTCAATAGTCGAACTGCTTCAGCATATTCACACAGAGATTTTATACTTTCATGTTCTACTTGAAATTTTAATGCTAATTGTTCAATAATTTGAACTAAAAGTGATTGTAACGATGTTGACAGGCAAGTACGACCAATACAGCATACAATTACTATTGGTTCTATTGTGGGCTGTTGAGTCAATGAGGCGCTTGGAGTTTGATTCGATATTGGTGTTTGTGTTGTTGATCGATCAGCAGATTTTGGTTTATAATGAAGTTGCTTTAAAGTGGCAAAATAACATAAGCATTTATTGAGTTAGATTACAAAATGTACAAGTGTACAAAATGAAAAATAAATCTGGTGTTAAGAGAATGAACACTTTTATTAAAGCCGAATTACACAGACTAAATGCTCTCTATAACCAGAAGTTTCTTTCATGTAAATCCTCATCTAATGTGTGGAAGCTATTAAAGGAAATCACATGTGGTAAGCAAATAATGAATGAAACTTCTGTTGATGTTGATATGCTTAATAAATCCTTCATATGTATCCCTGCAGATGTTATGATTCCCAAATCTAATAGTATAAATAATGACTGCTTCTCATGTTTTAACACCAATGATGTCCATAAGTGTCTTCAATCTCTCAAACCTACTCAGTCCCTTGGTCCTAATGGAGTTCCTGCTGTTATCCTTAAGAAGTGTGCTGACATCTTATTTTACCCATTAACTGATATTTTCAATGAATCTTTTTCCAAAAGTATTATTCCTGACTCATGGAAAAATATCAAGGTTGTTCCAGTGCCCAAATCAACAAGTGGACCTACTGTCAAGTTTAGACCCATCGCTATTACCTCACCTTTTTTAAAAGTTATGGAAAGACTTATTTTACTTAATCTTGAACCCTCTTTAAAGCCTTTTAATGACCCCAATCAGTTTGCCTATAAACATAGCAGGTGTACCTTAGATGCCGCTGTAGTTCTATATCATAATATAGTCTCTAGTTTAGATAGAGGAGCCAAATATGTTCGGTGTGCCTTCCTTGATTACACATCTGCATTTGACTCTGTACCTAGGTCTCTCTTGCCAAGTAAGCTTGCTGCAACACAGACTGAGAGCTGAACAAATAAGTGGTTGCATTACTATTTTTCTGATAGGAAGCAGTACACCGTCTACAATGGAAAGTCCTCCACTACCTCACTTACTTTAGCTGGTGTTCCTCAAGGTGCTGTTCTTTCTCCTTTTCTGTTTTCTTTTTTCTTACATGACTTGCCCCATTCTGATGTAGCCACTTTTGTCAAGTATGCTGATGACCTCTCTGTCTCTATGCCTGTTAACTCTCAGTCGGATTGTTCCAAATTAAATAGGTTTCTGCCGGAAATTAGTCAGTGGTCCTCTTCAAACGGTCTTAAGCTGAATCCGTCTAAATGTCAGGCAGTGAATTTCACTTTCAGACGAAAATGTGACCTACAACAACTAGCTAGCTCACATGGTCCCACTATCACTGATGGCATAGAGGTTGAAATTACATCTAATGTCAAGTACCTTGGACTTAGTATTTTCTCCGATCTTTTCTGGTCCTCTGACATCTTGCTATTTACTAGAAAGATGTTTCGCTTAACGTTCTACGTTAGGAAGTTAAGGCAGTCTGGTATAAAGCAGTCTTTGCTTTCTCAGTTTGTCAATTCTTGTATTCTAACCATCCCTCTTTACTGCTCCCCATTAATCCTTCCTGGACTACTTAAGAGAGATTTTGCTTTGCTGCGTAGGGCACTAAAAGCTGTTAATAGGGCAAGTGGGATTTCGTTAAACCAACTGGTTAACACCATTGTGGATAGACAAATAATGCTATGTAAGAAACTAGCAAATACTATATTCTCAGACCCTGAGTATCCTCTCTACACGCAGCTCTCTTCTTGCATTTCATCTGGTAGAACTAGAAGCAACTACAGAAGGCTATATGCTAGGACTACCAAGTACAAAAACTCCACAATACCTTATCTGACACAGCTGTTATGTGATGAGAAATCCGTTAGGTATGACACGATCAAGTTACTGCGGCACTCTAACAAATAGTTCCCATTAGCTTCTGTTCTCCTTTCTTTGTTACTATTATATTGTTGCCCACATATTCTATTACACACTAATTTTATATTTCATATCCTGTGGTGCATTGTTTAAAATGTGAATGCAATGCTGTTCTTTTTATTTATCTTTTTTCTTCTTGTTTTTGTTGCTTTTTATTTTTAAAATCTTATAAAATTTATGAGGTAATTAGATGCAATATTGTAATGCACGCTGAAAATTCCATACCTGTACCACAAATACTGTTTGGAATAAAGCTATTATTATTATTATTATTAGAAATAAATGTTGAGTTTTAGATGTATTCGGGAAAAACTTCGAAATATTCAGAAATATTGATTACGACAAGAAAAAGTAATTGTTTTACTGGTGAATGGTATTTTTCACTGCACAATGGATTAAATAATGAATGTCTCGACAACATATATGCATATAGCTGATAGTCACAAACATGAACTGGCAGCTACAGTTCAAGGGAGATACTCTTGCAGAGAGAGACTCTATCCCAACGTCTAACGGGAGAGATACAGAAAACTCTCTATTATACGCATCTGTTCCTATCCTTCAGTAACTGTCCGGTGTTTATCCAGAAACTGAGAGAGGTCATACCTAATCCTAGCTCTTGAGCACGTAAATACCGTTTGAAGTGTTCCTGTGGTTCAAACTACATAGAGAATGCAGTTAGGCAGGTTCGTCTACGGATTCTAGAACATTTACCAGCTTGATTCAGTACGGGGGTTGAAATCAAATGCATAAAAAGTTTGATCCCATCATACTTTATCGACACACAACCTCGCAACGACGCATACATAGCCTTCCAGGCTATATACCACATTTCCAAGTCAATATCACGCATAGTTTGCCTACGTCTTCTACATATGGCTGAAGCTATTGCAATAAGGTTGACTAAACAGGAGCTTTGTATTCAAAAAGAACACGTTCTAGCACTGTTCCCGCTATGGCCATACTTAGAATAAAATTTCTTCTCTCTAAGTGTGTCTATTCCTCTTATCGTTTTTTTTCTTTTGCTATGCTTATCATAATTTATTATTATATTATTATTATTACTCATTGTAATTTATACCCTTCATTCTAACATTCTTCCATTCACTACCATCGAAATTCCATTTATACTATTCCAACTTATTATTAGTGATACTGTAACAACAGAAGACAAGGGCCAGGCAACAGATCGTTTATTGAGAAAATCAACAGATATTTATAGATTTTTATGTACATTATTATTATTCGTTATTGTTAGCAGAGAAACAGCGTCTTCTGATTGGTTGTTTTCCTGCTGAAGGTTATTCTGTCATCTCTTTGTTGCCGTTTCTTAGAGAGTTCGTTGATAAATCTGCGAATCGTATCCACCCATGTAAAGTATTCTGTGATTGGTTGTTGAGTTAGTCTTTGTTCTTGTCTTTTTTCTTCTCATGACCAAGATTTAGGACGTAAACATTTACGTAAATTGCTGTCTACCAATTTTGGCTAGCAGACAGCTCTCACTACAATTTTATTTTTTTAATTTTATTTTTGATTACAGCTTGATTCCACACTGTATTTTCAGTACAAGTATGGAATTTTCAGCACGGATATCGGTAGCCCAAATTTTGCAGGCCGACCATAGATATCGGGTGTGCGTCGGGAGGGGATCGAACCCCGGACCATGTGCATGGTCGGCGAGAGTCCTAACCACTGTGCCACCGACGCAGTACCTCTTATCTCAGTATATGCCTCCACCTGTTTCATTTCACTTATTGGTTATTTCGTGATGAAATATTCACTGCCGTCTTACTGTCTCTTCTTTAATGCATACTATTTTGTACTAGCCAGTCAGCTGACAGTTTTATAACCTTGAACTATTATTATTATTCCCTTGGGTTCCGAGTGCAACATAGGGCTTCAACAGCACGTCTCCACTTTGTCATATTCCTTGTGGTACTCATTAGCTCGCCCAACGACTGCTCATAGTCTCTCATCTCTTCCTCGCACGATATATTCCTCGTCACTCTCGGAAGCCTCACTCGTCGTTTGCCTTTCGGGTTCTCCTCGAGAGATGGACTAGCGCGCGATGTCATTCAGTAGTCCTCTCAGCATGTATTCGATCCATCTCCATTTTATTCAGAATATTTGTTGAATGAGAGATCCTTAATTAGTTCGTTCCCAGAGTTTTTTTGTTGCTAGTCCCTTACAGCCGGTAATCTGATCTTCTGTATGGAGTGAAGACTGTTGTTGATAGAAGTCTGTAACCTGTTGTAAACGCTCCAAGTTTCTGACCCATATAGAAGAACTGACTGACTTCACATTTGTGTTGAAAATCCAAATCTAATTCTTTATGGTGAGTCAGTGCAGAAGATTTCCAAACTGGTTTCAGGTTGATGAAGGCGTACCCTGCCTTTCCGATTCTGGCTAGCTTTACATCTTCATCCATTCCATCTGTAGTTGGTTGCTAGTTATCGCGTATCTGTATCAACTCCCGTCTTCCCTGTGTTCACCTGGAATCCTGTCTTTGCTACTTCTTCAGCTAGTTTGTTGGTTTTCAAGTGTAGATCTTCTAGTTTGTGTGACATTAGACATATATGATCTGCGAAATCCAGATCTTCTAGGGTTTTCTTACCGGTCAGGCATATGCCTGTCTTCTTGCCCCTCATTGTCTGACTCATAATCCAGTATATGCTTACAGTTACCATTAAATTTCAGCTTAAAAGAAGTATTTCATTCAAAAGAAATAGATTATCTATTATGGGAAACTAACCTCAAATGTGTGTACTGCCCATCGAAGAAGACTAGATCTTCCACTTCCTGCTGGTCCATAAATTAATCCTGGAAGTTTTGAATTACCAGATAAGTAGGCTTTCAGCACACTGGTTTCTCGACTACGTGTTTCAAGAAATAATTTATCGTACCAGTCGAAATGCTCTCCACCTTCATCATCATTATTATTTGACTTCATAACTTCTGTAATGTAGTTGTGAGGTTTAAATTCAACGCTTAATTGTTCAGTTGAATACATCAGCGTGTTATAATGCGTCAATGCTTCAATTTCACTACTCAGCTGTAAGCCTGTGTGAAGCTTCGTATCACCAAATAGATTTGCAATACATTTTTTGAGAAGTTTAATTGTTTGATCGACAAACAGAACTAAATAGTCAATCCATGTCATATCATAAAGTCCTGGAGGCTTATCATTACGTGATGTATTAAACTGTTTCATTTGTAATCGTACCTTTGTTAAAAGTAATTTCTCCGCATCTAATTTTGCATAAATATCAGATGATTTTGATGATAAATCTGTGAAATAATTCAATATTTGAATTGGAACTGTTAGTTTTACTGATCGTTCTTTAGAAATACACTTTTCTAGTGTGTTTAAAACGGTAGAACACTTTTGAATTGACTTTGGATCAGGTATGCGCTGCTTTGTATTCAGTGGATTATTTAAATCAGTATAATCAATTAAATTGTCAAATATAATTTCTTTATTGTTGATATTTTGAGTAATGCTGAGTAGTTCTTTTGAGTTAATTGTTGGACGATTTCTAATCATTCCTTGGATTTGACGCTGTATTAGTATACTGCTTTTAGCTAAACCTGTACATTTCCCGACTAAATTTGTATAGCGTTCAATATCTTCATCCAGTTTGTTTTCAGTGCAAAAGAGGATTTTAGGGGGAAAAAAAGATTTTTTTAAAAAGAAATTTGTTTTGAATAGATAATGAGAAAGATTTTGAATAATGTACAACTTTTCTCTAGTAAGATAAAATAAAAGTCTGACTCAATAAATATGATAATGGAATTTTTAAAGAGGAAAATATTTTCATCTGTCTGACGAGAAACAACAGGCTTAACAACCAGTCTGGGAAATGTCTTGATCAGTTTTCCAAGAATAATCAAAGCCATACATGAACCTATGAAATATTTTAGTGCGTGTATGTGTGTCAGTCAGTATAGTTTACAGCTATCATACTAAGATAATCACCTATTTGTTGTCTTTATTTCTGGTCATGACAGTGTGAAACTCTTAACGGTGTCTAGGTTATGGGCTTCGTATGGACAGCCGCCTTCTCTGGTTCCATACTGAAGATCGAATGGCCGGCTGGCCTGAAAGAATTAGCAACAAGAAACTCTGGCAACAAACCAATCAGCAAATATATGGGAGAAAATGGAGTTGGATCGGGCATATGTTGAGGAGGCCGTCGAATGACATCGAGCTCAATGCAGGCCATCGCTTGAGTGGAATCCGAATGGGAAGCGATGAGTGGGTCATCGGTGGAAGGGTGACGTGGAGGAGATCGTGAGAGGGGGAGATGAGAGATTATGGGTAATTGTGGACACATCTGAAGAGGACAGCAGAGAATAGAACAAAGTGGAGATGTGTTGTTGAAGCCCTAGTTCTCACTTGGAACTTGGATTAATTTCAGTTGTTAGATTACTTCACGAATTAATATCAGTTAGAGAGACCATTGAAAACTAGAGAGCACTGGATAGCTCTCTTCAGAAATTTACACCCACAGTCCCACAAGGGATCATCCTGTGATCCTCAGATTACGGGGACAAGCTCTTCGACCTTCCAGTCATTTGGGTCGGAATTCAGTTACCCGTGAATTCTAACTTTGTCAACTCGTGATATAGTGCTGTCCTCACCACTGCTTTCGATGGGATCCAGCTTTACGTTGACTGGTAATCTCCCTGGTCACAACTTTTCACTGGAGCTTCAGGCAATCCATCCAGTAGCCATCAGGGAGTTGGTGATTGATATTCAGATCATAGGATTTCACTTGTTAGATTCTCGTCATGAAGCAACATCATTTTGAGAGATCACTGGAAAAAAGTGCCAGGCTATAAGACTCATTTAGTGGGGAAAGAAAATCAGATGTGGTCTTTGGATAGGAAACAGTACGTGCATATTTGGCTTCCACCTTAAAATCACTTTTTTAAAGCGTATAACGGTTTAACTTCTTAATAGGCTTTTTTCAATCCCTCACTGAGACTGAATCGTAGATACTCTTGTTTTGTTTGATTCTTTCATCGAAGAAATGACTAAGAGTCTGAGTATTTCCCCTCTTATTTAATCTATATTTTATTTATTCCTTATTGCATGATGAATTCACTAAAGGATAATAGAGAAAATCTAATTTGCCTTCAGTAAATTATCTTCTGACTACCATTCATTTCTCAGTAATATTTATAAATACAAATTAGCTCAGTAACTAGGCATGTGTTTTGATATGTTGCGTAATAGATAATTTATGATCAAGACTTGGTCTATTTTTGAAAACATCTCATTAATTTCCTTTGCATTGAAAAGTTGATAATTTTTCATCGACTGTCAATGACTTCGACTAATTTTCAGTTGGAAATTACTGTTTAGCAGTAAACAGTCATCATATCACTTCGACAGAAAGATTTCAGAGTAATTCCACCTAACGATCTAATGAAAAATTGATTTAGGTGAAGAGTAATCGTAATAATCTGGAATATATTTCTCTGCAACAATGACTACATTGGAGATACGCTATTTGTAAAGTGAAATCATAGGAATCTACTTATAGTTTTGAATGTTCAATGAATCGAAATGAAGAGAAATTTTGTCAACACAAAAGCACAGAAGCTCTACAACATAATGGAAAAGTATAGCTAATTTCCTCAATAGAAATTGTCATTCCCATCACAAAACATTTAATGAATCTCGCTTAACTACTTATGAGTAGCTAAGTTATGTATAGAACAATTAATTAATGAAATATTGGCCAGCCACTGGATCGGATCACATTGGCTTAGTGGTCCGAGAATTCGCCTTGTAACCAGAAGGTCCTGGGCTAGAAACCCCTTGGTGGGTGTGTACTGATGAAGAGTCCCGAACTGGGCTGAAGAAACAGTTAGCTGTGCAATACTCACAGATGGTTTTCCAATGGTTGTCTAACCGATGTCAGCTCATGACTGTAACCAATATTGCTAAATGTCTCAATTTAGAGGTTCAAATCAAATTTTTGTTGTGTCTTTGATTGAATTTTTAATGTGAATAAATGTTCTTGTACCACTTAATTTCATATATCCATATTGTTTCCATTGTTAAAACAGTCATGTGTGTTCTGTTCATTAAGTACATTGTCAACTAATATAGATAGTAAAACGGCATCTACAGCATCGATATTGATTAGGCTGGATGATCCAATACAGTCAGAAGAATGAGGCGCATGTCAGAGACTTATTTCAACTGTAATCAGAACTTAACGTGTGACCGGAAGGCCTCGGGTTCGAACCTCAATTGGCGGGCACTGATGATGAGTACCGGTGTAGGACGAAACGGCTCTTCGATACTCCTACGTTTTCAATGGTTTTCTAACTGATATATTGTTTTCTTAACTAAGAAATTTCTTATACGTTTCATAATTGCAGCTTCTGATAGATTTCATCTTTAATGTAGACCCACAAACTTATTTCACTATCATTTTTGCAGTAAAGGCTAAAATGTTGTGATAAGTATATGAAAAAATGGGCCAATAAATTGGGGAGTCAAGGCAGTTTATATTTTAATGACTAAACTTTGCATATAAAGTTTCAAGTTGATGTACCTTTATTACCACCTAGTGATAGTTGGTTCAGTCAAACTCTTTTTAATAGGTACGCGTATTTACCAGTAAATTTAGCAGACTGACTGTTTAGGTGAAGTGAATGTACAATAGAATTTTTTGAAAAACAATCTGCATTTCTGAGGCTTATTCTGATCGTTAAACACGTTTTCTCTTGTTTTAAACCATCAAGTCAAGGTCATTTCTGTTTCAAGACCAGAAATACGATTTGAAATTATGCTCACAAAAAAATGGTCTGATTTCCGGTCTATAGTAATAAGTTATTGAACAGTGAGATTCTTCATTAATTTCATTTAAAAACTCCATCAAAAGTTGTGATGTGGTTGACAAAGTGGCTAGTATCAATTAAGACCTTTAAGACAGATTTGCAGTAGTCATCTTACCATCAATTGTAAGAGATTTTATTTCTAGCGAAAATCAATATGTTATACCTGCATTTGAATAGTTTATTATCGATCTAACGTACAATAACGATCAATTATTTTAGTTAATCAACTAGTAAATAATTAAACGGAAACATCATTTCTATATTAAGTCATAGAAATACGTAAATAAATAAATAAATAATACTTTTATAAATAAGGTCATTCTTATGCTCTGGAAACTAATGATGTGTGTGCACACTGCTGTGAAATTGTTTTTTTGTTGTTGTTGTTGTTTACAACTGGCTATTTTCTGTTATGAATACAATCACTCCGAATAACTCAATGCTATATTATTATCGCCCGCATAAAAGCTAGTAAGGAGTATGTAATTTTTAATGATTCTTTAGTTTATGTAACATAGTAACAATAATCTAATTCAGTGTTTAATTAAAAGCTAATTTGTTTGTGTGAAAAAAAGCATACGAATGAAATAATGATGAGGATTAACTCAATTTATTCGTATAACTAACTATCTGATGGTAAATTAAATCGATAAACTTTGAGTTCTTAAAATAACTGAATTGATATCTGATCATAAATAGTCGTATTCTATAAATTTTCAAATTAGTTCAAACTGCAGATTAATATAAAACCTTTGATTAGACACTGACTAGTGTCACGTGTTTGCTGCCGACTGAATTCTATCAGTGAAGTTTGTAATGTGGCCACCATGCAAGGTGACTCACCATCATAGTACACCCTGAAATGTTGTAATTAGATGGTTGGAGGCAATCGACAGGTGTGGTGAGAGCTGTCTGCTAGCCAAAATTGGTAGACAGCAATTTACATCAATGTTTACGTCCCAAATCTTGGTCATGAGAAAAAAAACAAGAACAAAGACTTTGCGTGGGCGGATACGATTAGCAGATATATGGTCTGACCTTCAAAGAAACGCCTACAAAGAGATGACAGATTAACTTCCAGTAAGAAAATGACCAATCAGAAGACTCTGTTTCCCTGTTAATAATAGCGAATAATAATGTGCATAAAAATATATAAATATCTGTTGATTTCCCCAATAAACGATCTGTTACCTGACTCTTGCCTTCTGTCGTTATACAGGAAGCCGTGGACTTAGGTTTCGTGCTTGTTGGCACTTACCAGTCAGCAAGGCGTATCTGAAGTCCGAACCCGCGTCACCCAGTGCCACCTGCAGTCGGAGATGTTGCCACTGAGCTGTTCGAGCTAGCGAAACCTAGGCCCAAAGCTTTCCGCCAACTGCCTAAAACCCGTCTATAACATAATCAAAACTATCTGCTGTACCCTTCATCTGAAATTCTCCCACTTTTTGATGTTGCATAATGTTACCTAGTTCAATCACTATTGTTTAATGTTTTAAGTGTAGTTCCCACCCACAACTGTCTAGTGCAGTTTACATCACTAATTTATGTGCATTAAGAGCTAAGTTATATATGAGGAAATATCATGAATTACGGTCTTTATATATATATTCATATATATTCACTGTGTACTACTTTTGTTCGTAAATGAGTTTCCAGTTCGTTGAGATTTCCTCATTTCATAAAAAT